TTCTCTTTGATATTTTATAATATATATCATTCTTGAAACTGTATTTAGTTTTATTATGTTGCAGATCAATATTTGAGAGTTGGTCAATTTTTATATCTTCCAGATTGATCAGGTTTACTATTTTTAATGCTTCATCTGTATTTTCTTGAGATTCTAAAACTGGATTTCTGCTTAAACAGTCTACTTCCTGGTTATATTTTCCTGGATTATACTTTACTTTAAAATTATATTTTCAACTAATATAACATAATAATAATTTTTAACTAATTTTATGGAAGAGATCTTCTGTTTCTTTCAAAGTGTCTCGATCAATTTTATCAGCTATATAATTTGGCAGTCCAATAGCTATTAAATCAATCATACTTTTTTTATCTAATGATTTGTTTATTTGTAGTATGAGTCTTTCCTTTTTAAGAGCATATTCTAATAAGGAACCATTTTTTTATTTGAACTGAAAAGCATACCTCATTGTAGTCCACCCTTTGTCTGCATATGTGTAACAAAATTTGTTTTTCCATTCATCCCAATTACAATTTATTGAATATTTTATAAGCATTGGCCTATACCAATCCACACATGACCCTTCTAAAAATAATCTTAGAAGTTTAATTTTTTCCGTATTTTTATCTATTTGTAATCTTGTGCACTCATTTTCAAATGTTTCCATCCATTGTAAAACGTTCAAATTTTTACCTGTAAATTTTTATATCACAAATTGTTCGGATACTTTTTTTTATTAATGGATTCAAGATCTGTTCTAATGCATCTAGTGGGATACCAGTTGTGGATGTTAGAGATTCTTTCCTTTGAATATCTTGTTGTTCTAAAAGAAAATCATTGAATTGTATATTCCCATCTTTATCCATATAAAATTTTAAAATATTTTCATCTGCAATCCAAACTTTTCTTGTAGTACCCTGTTTTGTTAGAGCCCTTTTTACTTTCTGAAAAGCTGCTGTCGTTTGGATTCTTTCATGATAGGAAATATTTTGCATAACATGATATATAGTATATTGTCTTGATACTTAGTAAAGTCGACGTCATTGTCTTTGCTAAGAGACGCTAATTGTATCCGAATGTCTGCGGTCCCTCCGGTGAGTACCGATCGCAGATGAATAGAAATTATTTTTATTTATTAATTTTTAATAAACAAAAGTTTTTTGATAAAAAATAAACAAAATAAAGGGTTTTTACCCATATATTTTGGTGGCTACTAGCATGTACAACCGTTTGCACTGATGATGGATTGTTTAATCCGAAAACGTTTTGCAATGTGTTTGTGATAGCCCGTTTGGGGCATTTTTATATACCTTTTATGAAGGATTTTAAACAAATTTTTTTTTTAAACAAAAATTTCTCTACAAAGATGGGATTCGAACTCACGACCTTAGGTTTAAAGGTAGCGCTCTTACCACTGAGCCACAGAGGGTTTATAAATAAATTGAAATATTATTAAAGGAAAACAAAACAATAGTTTTTCTTTACATCTCTCCCCCTTGGAGAAGAAATTTTAAAAACAAAAATTGAACATTTACTAAATATTTGTTTTCAATACTTAAGTAAGCTTATATATATATATATATATATATATATATTATATATATATATATATATATATATAATATACATATATATAATATACATATATATATTATATATATATATATATATATATATATATATATATATATATATAATATATATATATATATATATATATACAGGGTGTTTCAAAAAAAGGTAACCCCGTCTCTAGGGTAGGTAAAACACTGAAAAATAATTGGGGTTTGCTTAGTAAAAAATGTTTGTAACGCCATCCGTTTTCAAGATACAGGGCGTTAAAGTAAAAAAAAATTTACGTATTTTTTACGATTTTGCCGAAACTACTGGCAACATTGTAATGAAATTTTATACGAATATGTTTTGGAAGCTGATACATCCCATGAATTTGTTTTTATATCTTATTCTCATAGAGGGCGCTAGTTACACGGATCGTACTAAGTATTATTCAATATAACTTTTTTAAGAGTATAATTATTAATCAAAATTTCAAGTAAACTTAAACATCATTCAATTTTACACGAAAAAGGTACTCTTGGTAAAACTCGATACTGTGTACAGTTTTCGAAATATTTTGATTTGAAAATTATGAAGTAATAATTGATGCTGGTATAAAATAGTTAGTAATTAAACAAAATTCACAAGAAGAAAATTAAATTAATGAAGAAGAACATAAAATAAAATTCAATTACAGTAAGTGTTCAAAATGCCCTCCGTTTTCGCGAATATACAAGTCTATTCTTTTTTCTAAAGATTCCATTAACCTTCTAAACGGTAAAGGATCATCTATGATGTCATTAAATTGACGTTGAATTCTTTCTTCCAATTCTTGGCGTGAATTTACCTCTGTAGCATAGACTTTTTCCTTAATATACGAACAAACTGCGTAGTCCGAGTTAAACATACCTTGTCGCGTAAAAGTGGCCTCGTCCGTAAAAAGAATGCATTTTAAAAAATTTGGATTGTGGACTGTCCTTTGTTGCAATGTTTCACAAAAATCCACTCTAACCGGTAGATCATCTGGCAAGAGCTCTTGGACTTGTCTGTAATGATAAGGATGTAATTACTGTTCTTTCAGTATCCGATAAGTACTTGAAGAAGAAGTATTTGTTTGTCTTGCTATATTCCTTTCGCTAACTGTTGGATCTTGGTCAAGTAAATTTAAAATATTATTTTCTTTATTAATTGTTCTTGTTGTTCTTGGTCTACCAAAATTTATTTTATTTGGTCTCACATTCCCAGTTTCTCGACAACATCGTTCAACGGCTCTAAATGTTTTTTTACTTGGTAACTTTTCTGCTTAACGTGTCACAACTGCACTAGAACATTCGCCTAAGGTTAATAACATGTCAGTGTATTCAACATTTGGATACATTTTGATTTGATTTTACAAATAACAAGGTTGCAAAACTCCAATTATTGTTGATTTATCGTCATAATAATCAATAAATGTCAAATTTCTATGGCACACTTGGAGAAAATAGAGGTATTTCTATTAGAACTTTATGATTACTACCAGCATCAATTATTACTTCATAATTTTTAAATCAAAATATTCCGAAAACGGTACACAGTATCGAGTTTTACCAAGAGTACCTTTTTCGTGTAAAATTGAATGATGTTTAAGTTTACTTGAAATTTTGATTAATAATTATACTCTTAAAAAAGTTATAATGACTAATACTTAGTATGATCCGTGTAACTAGCGCCCTCTATGAGAATCAGATATAAAAACAAATTCATGAGATGTATCAGCTTCCAAAACATATTCGTATAAAATTTCATTACAATGTTGCCAGTAGTTTCGGCAAAATCGTAAGAAATGCGTAATTTTTTTTTCTTCAACGCCCTGTATCTTGAAAACGGATGGCGTTACAAAAATTTTTTACTAAGCCAACCCCAATTATTTTTCAGTTTTTTACCTACCCTAGAGACGGGGTTACCTTTTTTTGAAACACCCTGTATATGTATGTATATTATATATATATATATAATATATATATATATATATATATTATATATATATATATAATAATACATATATATATTATATATATATAATATATATATATATATATATATATATGTATGTATATTATATATATATATATATAATATATATATATATATATATATATATATATATTATAATGCAATAATACAGTTTTGAGACAGCTATCGCCCGTTCTCCTCCGCCAATCCTCCCGGTCCAAGGCAAGCTCCTCCTCTAAACCTTTCGATTCTATCGCTCTTCTAATTCCTTCATTACATGAGCTTCGAGGTCTACCTCTATTTTTTCTTCCAGAGGCTTCTATCTGTGAAGTTTTTGGGACTACCGTGTTCGTGAGGCATTCTCAATAGGTGTCCAAACCATTATTTCCTCTAAGCAGTTATCGTTTCCATCGCCTTTCATGTTGTATATCTCTTTGCACTTTTCTTATTGATTACTTTTTGGATTATATATATTATTTTGGATTATTATTGAGAAGAATTATTATCATTCGGTTAAGTTTTGTCACTACATTCATAAAAAAATCCAATGAAATATCTGCCAATCCTGCTGATGTTTAATTTTAGTACTAAAAGGCCGTTTCTGATTTCTTCGTAGAATACAATCATTTCTTTTAATTTTTGATGTAGACTTTACTTTCGTGATTGGCGATTCAGTTAGTGGAGTAATATTGTTCTTATTATGTAAGTATTAGGTATGAGATATCTCTTTTACATTGTTATAATCTTTTAGTTATTTTCCACGACTTGAAACTTCTCGCGCCTGCTACGTATTAGTATTTGTAAGCATGGTGGTCTCCCAGTATGCATTTTTGTTGTTCTATTTTTATCCTTAACACTAAAGATTTATAATTTTTTTGCGATGTTTGGTTTTCTAGTGCTTTTTGTTATAGTAATTTTTATTTAACATTTATTGTTTGGATTGATTTATAGTCTACACTGATACGTTTTAATGCGCTTTTTATTTGTCTCTAATGCTACTATCGCTGTCGTGAAGCTTACGTATCTTCGATATCCACGTAAATTAATGACTATGTTTTTATTATTTTATTTTATTAATTATGTTAATATTTTAATAAGTCGATAAAAATTTTTCGGCCTCTACTAAAATTTAAGTTTACGATAAATAAGTAAAATGTAGATAATACAAAATGGTTCCAATTATAAGTAATTTATGCACTATCGTAACTAAAGAAAACATAAATAAACTTAAAGCACTTAAGCCAAAAATTTAAAATACTTACATTTTATTGTCAGTTAACAATACACAACACCAGTCTATTATAAACAGGTATATACTAAAATTAAAATCCATCGAAAAATTAAGGATTTTTAGAAAAACGACTAATAGGGAAGATTGCAATAGGTGTACGAGTAATAGATTAAAAAATCATGACTTTTCAAAAAATTAAAAAATAAAAAATTTTGTTACGATTTTATATTTTCAATTAGAAATTATTAGTAAAATACAATTTTATTAGAACCTGGTACCTTCAAAAGCGAATAGCGTTTAACATGGAAGAAGTCCCAATCCGCCATGACCAATATGACCATATCCTCCTCCGAAATGTGATATCGGAATATGTCCTCCCAATCCAATTGGGTTACTCCATCCAACATTACTGCCCCATCCTGTTAGGCCGTTCAATCCTCCTAAGCCGCTCCATCCTCCATGACCTCTCCATCCTCCTAAGCCGCCCAATCCACCGTTGACCCAATGCGGATATGCGGATGAGCAGGAGATAGATAAAACTATCACGATGGCAATTAGAAGAAATTTCATCTTTGCTGTAGATTGCTTTCGTTACTGGAAAGTAAACTGGTGATGGCTATGTGTTTGTTTAATATTTATAGTAAATTTTTTACATTACATTCTAATTTTTAATGTAATAAATTATTTAATTAAATTACTTTGTATGTGTAAAGGTCATATATAGAGAAGTTAACCTTTCTATTTTATTTTAAAAATCATCTTTTACTTATTTATTAAACCATTAAAAACATTTTACCGGTTAAATGGGTATTAAAATTTGTATAATCGTATCATATGAGTACGTATCTACAGTTGCGTTTAAATGTAACTTAATATCTAGTACCGTTCATTATTTGTTTTAACGATTTACCAACACTTTTGGTAAAATAACAAAAGTATATTATTTTTAAAAGCCGCGTAAAAATTAAATTATAAGTTGTATATTTATTTAACTGGGTAGTAGAAGACTGGTTAGTTTTACTACCCAGTTTAAAATGGACTAACACGCGCAAACAATTCATTCTTTGTATAATCATTATAAGTATATAGTTGCAAAACTTTATAATATATATATATATATATATATATATATATATATATATATATATATATATATATTATATATATATATATATATATATATATATATATGTATATAGTTGCAAAACTTTATAATATATATATATATATATTATATATATATATATATATATATATATATATATATATAATATATATATATATATATATAGCAAACTAAATAAAAATTTATTGTTTTGGAGTATCAGGTATGCGGTCTGTTATTAAAAAAAAACTCTTTTTTCTTTTATTACTCTATATTTCGCTGATTTTTGTCAGCTTCTTCAGGAGATAACTAAAATATGGTTAAAATTTTATATACATAACAGGTGATAATAAACAATGAATTTACTTACAGATTAATAGTTAAAATATTTAAAAATGTTGAACATAATATTCAAAACAGTACTGACAGTATTAGTCAAAAGCATCTAGTCACTAGTAATTAAATATAACAAAAAAAATATATAATAAATAGAAAACAAAAACAACCAAGAAACAATAAAAACACAATAAAATTACACATTAAAATATACAGGGTGATTTAAAATATAATTGTAAAAAGAAAAATTATTTGAACATACTAAGAATATTACAGTAGATATTGCTCAACTGTCTCGTATCTGCCTTATAATTAACTGCATATTTTTCTTTATTAATGTGACACATTTCTAAAAACAATTTTTTTTTTGTAATTGTTCTCTTGTTGTAGAACCCTGACATTTGAGTAGTCAAATTGATGCCCAGTTTTTAGGTAATGGTCAACTGCCGCACATGTATTCTTCTTTTTTGTGCAGTCACTTTTGTGTTGTGTGACCCGTTGTTTTAGCCATTGAGAAGTTTGGCCAACATAACGGCTCTGAAAATCCAAACAAGGCAGTTTATAGATGACATTAGTTTTATTTACAGTTGGTGTCTTTTCTTTTACTTTAGAAAACAGTTGTCGGTTTTCTAATACATTATATTGGACAATTTTGATGTTAGTAAATTGTTTAAATATATATATATATATATATATATATATATATACTCACCGGCACATATATATATATATATATATATATATATATATATATATATATATATATATATATATAATTCACCGGCAAGAAAAACGGAGCACTTGCATTTTTAAAATAAAAACTTAAAATTTTAATTCACTTTAAACTTTTATTCTTATAATAACGTAAATGCAAACGAAACAAACCTTTTGTAATTTCTAATAAAAATTACAAACTTTTGAACAGTTTCAGTAGACAACAATTTAAAAATTAAGGAAAAAAAAGTAGTGAATATTTTAACAAAATTCTCTCAATTAACGAAAACTTAAAATATGTGTTCTGACACAGCCACCTTTACTTCCAAGCCATGAAGTAGAAATTTGGCAACAACGAGTGGTAGTCCGACTGTGGTTTGTTTTGTTTAACATTTCATATAGGAAGGCTTGTAAAGTTTGTTGAATTTAGTGTTTTTTTAACTTTATTTGAATGTTTTATTTGTAAATTGTGTTTAAATCAATTAGAAAATATTAATATAAGTGAAATTTCATTAAATTTAGAACTTTTAGAAGATTTTTAATGACAATTTAAAAGGCAAGTATAAATATAACCTACAAAACAAACTGAAAATAATAATACTTTTGCTTCTCGTTACAAAATATGTAAACCAAAAACAACAATAATAATACTTTTGTTTTTTGTTACAGATGCTCTGGCATTGTTGTGTACCTGGTTGCAAAAACAATTATGCCAGTACTTTAAAAATGAAACAGGCAGAAAGTACGTTTTTGTTTCCCAAAGATCCCCAAAGAAGGTATACTGGGTTATGCTCTATTCATAGAGAAAGCTGTACAATTACCAAATCTTCCGTAGTATGTGCCAAACATTTTCATGAAGATGATATTCAGCGGACTGAACAATGAGAAGATAAAGATGGAAATGTACATATTGAAAAGTTAATATTTCCCAAATTAAAAGGCAATGCAGTTCCTAATATATTTCCTGAAGTACCATCATATGTAACTGTTCATCGTACTAAAAAAAGAAGGAATCCCGAAGACAGAAGAAACTTTTTGCATAAGAAGAGGGAACAAGAGATAACATAATTATGACAATTAGACTTAGACAATAATATCCCATTGAAAAACTGAACAAGTAAAATTACAAGTGACTGTGTATATTTCTATGTATTAAACATTAATCAGTTGGGACACAAGTGTGATAATATTTGTGTAATATGTAGTGTAATAGTTAGCAGTAATTTTAGTGTAATCGTCAATGTAGGTAAGAATAGATTAAGTAGTAATGATTTAAAATGGATTTTACAATATAGTAAATTAACAAGATGGTCACAATTGGAGAACTTACTTTCTCATTTAGATCTGCTTTTTAGATAAGTGATAACAAATTTGAGTATTACATTCAAAAATCTTTTGAGCATATAGGCTATTTTAAATCGATAAGTTATAAATGGTATGTTACATTCAACACATTTTTCATGTATTGGTACCCTCTTTTAACTTGGTCTATATGACAACAAACCTATTCATATTTAAAATTGCTACTTTCGTATACCTAAGTATGAAAATTCAACAAAAGTTATAAGTAAATAGTAAAATATTTAATTTTCAATTAGATTAATTTAGAACCATATTTATATTGTGTCTGATTTCTTAGGATGAATTTTTTAATCATAATAGTTACACTAAGTTTTTACTTAACAAATTTTATATCTTTTGTATTTTTAATAATCTTTTTAAATGTCGTGTTAATGTATTGTGTTATTTATATGCTTAAGTACTTAATATTTAAAATTTCTAGAGATTCTTGACTGCATTTGATTGTAAGATTAACTGTTTGACACTGTATTTTAAGTGCAATAAATTTTACTCTAGTGATTATTTTATTGATAATATAACCTAAATAATAATAAAACTTTATATATATTTACTAGGTATGTATAAGGTTTTATTAATTTAATTTCCCTAAAAATATTTCTGTAATGAATTGAAGTTTTCAAAATATCAGTTTCCTAAAATTCAAATTAGTTTAATTTTCTGGTAGACATTACAGCTGATTATCGGACTACCGACGTCATAGAATGCGGTGTTGCCTTTTTTACTTCATGGCTTGGAAGTAAAGGTGGCTGTGGTTCGGACAAACTGATTTTAAAATGAATGCTCCTCGAATTATTGCCCAAATTTTGTATAATTATGATTAGCATTTTACGAGATAAGTAGCCGTTTCCAGACTTTTGGGCCACTCTGTATTTATCGTTTGTATATTTATTTTGTTAAAAAATAAGAACGCTTTATTAATTTAACTAATTTTAATAATTTTACAGAAAAAAACTTTTAATTTATTTGATCATGACAATTAATACATACAATATTAGATTTAGAATGTCTTTTACAAGTGAATGCACTACATTGTGTTCATTTCATAGAGGTATACGACTTGATTTTTCACTATAACAATTGCAGCATCTACCACGCTTAGCAGGATTTTCGTCTTCTTGATGGGGAAACATCGTTGCTTCGTAAACATCCTGGACAGGAACTCGGTTATATCACGTGGAAGTGTTTTAACTTGTGATCGTGTATGAAGGTTCTTTCATCAAGTTCAATGCAAGGTTTTTGAGTAAATGTCTCCTGTTGAGTGATTTTCCAGAATTTGCAGCGGAATGTAGAACAAAAGCATTTATGCCTCCAATATCCATTAAATTATAGAATATAACACATTGCCATCTTTTAGTAATTCGTGAAACACTGTATGATGGATATAATTTACTACAGTATCAACTCCTCGTTTTGTTTTATTGTAATCTAAAATCAACTGTGGTTTCTTAGTATCCATGTCAACTGTACTTTCTTTGTGCATAGACGAAAATAATATGACTGACTTACTTTTACGCGGCACGTAAGAGGTAATCATATAATCTTTTTGAAATTCAAATATGCTAGATTGAACTGCCCTTGATTTATGTGGAAGAAATTCTTGAGGAATTTTTCTTTTGTTTTCCTTCAGCGTCAGCATAAACTATCACTACTAGCATAAAAATTATCTGTTGTTATGTTTCTTCCTGTCATTTCTATGTACTCTATTAGACGTTTTACAACGTCAAAGGCCGAATTTGATACGTGTATGGGCCACGTGACTGTTTACCGCAATATATCTCTAAATTGGCGGTATAAAATGTTTGAGCATGACATAACGCGTACATTTTTATGCCGTACGTAGCAGGTTTGTTGGGTATATATTGTATCCAGCTACACCTACCTCAAAAGGAATGGATCATTTCATCAATTGTGGTATACTCTGACAAATTGTATGAGTTTTGACAATTTTTTATAATTCTGTCAAAAAACGTTTATCATCAAACCTAAATAAACGTGCAATAAATAGAACACGTTTGTAGCTCAAACTCCTCGAACAGTATCAATCCCTGTGCCATCTTTTTCTCAAAGTTTCATCACATTTGTGTGATTGCC